TGTGGGGAGGTGAGGGGGGGTGTGAGGTGGTCTCTCACCCACAGAAGTTACAGGGGCGAGGAAGGGGGGTGTCCCACCGGGCAGAGGTGTTTTGGGGGCTTTCCCGCTGCATGGTGGCAGGGGCCGGGCCACCGACGCGGGGCAGCGGGTGTCCCCTGCCCGGATACAGACCATCTGGGTACCTGTTTTTCGGCTCTCTTGCGGTCACCACAGGGCAGCGGGCACTCCTCGCTGGGTATCGACTGATGCAAGCATCGGCCGCCTCAAGTCCTGCTGTGTCCCTTCCTCTCAGCCCACGGGCCTGGTCCGTAGCCTGGGTCAGCTGGCGTTTACACTGTAGCCGCCTGCATTTAGATTAATTCAACACGCATGCGGGGTGGACGTGTCGGAGGGGAGAAAGATGGTTGAAAAGTGGGAGGATGTGGTCTGTGGAAGTGGTGTGGAAGGGCGCTTGTAGGAGCCAGGATCAAAAGGAATCGTTGTGCAGCAGGCAGTGGAGCAATACTTCTCACCTGGCTTTGCCTGTGTTCAAGGGGAGTCCAGAGAAGTTCAGAAGAGAAGTCTGTCGACGGCTACTGCTTACTTAGAAACCGCCTCTGCTTCAGTAAGTCCTTGAGATGACCTGGTCACAAGCTGGAGGATCTCCAGGCCGTCTGCTCCTGGCCACTTCCGACCACTGAGCTCAATGGCCACCAGGTTTGATGCAGTGCTGCTGCTTTGTAGATGCTCAGGTCCAAGACCTACCCAAACAACTAGCTAAAACGTTGAGTTACCCACGACAGGCAGGCATCGGAAAGAACTTGGAGAGCTCTCGGGGCGGCTGCCTACAGCCTGGGTGGGGGGTGCCATTTGGCCAGTCGTGATTTTTTTTTGGTTGGAGAGTTAAAGAGCAGGAGCTGAAACTCCAAAACCTTCCTCCTTGGCCGGGAGGGAGGCAAGAGAGAGTGGGATGCCGTGTATGCCCCAGTGCTGACAGGAAAGGGAGAGGGTTTTTTGTCAAAAATTGCCAGACATACACCCTTCCGTTTTGTGCATCACTACTGTTTTCTCTACAGAAAACACCTAGAAACCAGAAAGCACTTAAACTGGCAGAACATCTAGAACCTCAACCTGTTTCAAAGGCTATGGAAATCACCCAAAGACCTGTCAATTTATTTTGAGCTGAACAGGGGTATAAATAATGCTATTACATTAATTCAGACTAAGACAACTGCAGAAACCTGTAAGACTGCTAGATAACTATACACAATGATTTGCTTGAGCATCAGGTATTGGACAACATTACTGTTTTGACCCATTATGTTGCTGAATCGTGACTGTTTATGACAGACATTGCAAGGTGGGATTTCTTTCTTGGAGCGTCAAAGTTACCTCTTACGTGCCCAACCTCTGTTGAAATTCAAGGGAGGATCAAACGCAGAAGGCTAAGGGTTTGAGCTGTGGTTCATCTTGGAAAATAATGTGGTTTTAACTGTAAAAAATGAAAACCTATGATACAGCAGAGGTTAGGACCAAATAAATCAAATTAATATTTTATGTTTTCCACCCTAATCTTTAATGTCACAGGTTCGACTGGTTCAACAATCCCAGGTCAGATTTAACAGTGTAGAGCTCTTGTCTAAAAGTGTAGCAGAAAAAAAGGCAACAGGAAAGAAAGGCAACAGAACAGTCCTTTCGGGAGGATTTAAGCTGATAAGTACATTACAGAGAAATCAGAAGATGCTCTCTGTCAGAAGATGCTCTCATGGAAAGGCACGAAATGCAGTGGCGTGTTACAGTAGAGGCACCCGCCGAGATGAGACCAGAAGAGAAAGCTGCAGTTACGCAACAAAATGACAGAGTTTGACATTCAGTGCTTTTTCTTTAGTCAGTAAATCTGTACTGTGCTTTCTGTAGGCATTAAACTGCAGCGAGAGTTCGTTGTATGCCTGCTTGCTGCTTTCGAGCTGTCGTTGGAGCTCTCGGACCTTCAGGTCATTGTCCGCTGCTGCTGCCTCTGTCGCAGGGCGCTTTCCTGCGCTCCGCCTGGCTGCTTCTGCGCTCTCCAGCCTCCCCCTCAGCCGCTGAATTTCCCGTTGCTTATCTTGCAAGTGCTTTGCCCCTCTCCATGGCCAGGTTCAGTAGTCACTCTTTCTCCTCCTTTGCCCTCTCCAGCTTGGCCTGCAGCTCGCTGCCCTGAGCCCTCCACTGACTTTCTACATGCTCTGCCTGTGCAACAACTTGTTGGTGCTTCTCCTGTAGACATCGCAGCTGGTTTTTTAGTGAATCGACTTCCCAGGCGTAGGCACTTGCCTGCTGGCTCTGAGCTTCTAGCAGCTCCTTCTCCCGCTCCTGGGCTCTGCGACTCATCAGCATGTTCCTCCTGTGAGGAGTCTAACTGCTGCGAGAGCTGTCTGGCCTGGGCAGCGAGCTGGAGCACTTCAGCTTCCTTCTCCCTCACAGCCTGGCTGAAGAGCGCTTCGTTCTCCTGCCGCAGGCGCTTGTTCTCCTCCCACAGCTGCATACGCTGTTTCCTGTGTTCGTCCTTGAGCTGGATCATTTCTTCGTGGTTGTTGGCCAGATCCACCAAGCGCCCCTCCAGATGCTGAATCCGTTGGGTCTGGGTTTTCATTTTCACAAAATCCTCTGTCCTCAGTTTCTCCAGCTCCATGTTGAGCTGCTCCAGGCCTCGGCAGCGTTCGCGTGCATCGTCTGCTTTTTTCTTCAGTACGCAGATAAGGTGATGCTGTTCTTCTAGGCACACACGCAGCAGAGCCTTCCCATTCTTCTCCTCGTCAGGGCTCTCAGAGAGTTCCTCCAGGCCTTCCATCACATCTTCCATGTCTTTGTCCTTCTCTGGATCACTTGTGGGGTTGGCCATCCCTGCTTCTCTAATCCTGAGGCATAGAGCCCCTGTCTCACAGAAAGATGAGACAAAATTTTATAGTGACCGCTTCTCCTGGTGACGTTCAGCATAATGAAGCAGTACCCCGTGGTTACGTGGCCAACAGCACTGCCGTAAGCTGGCGGAGTTTCTCTGGAGGTCTGGAGAATGCAAAACCAAAGAATGTAGGCTTAGTATTTATGCAAGCCTATTCATTTGCTGACTGCTAGCTTTGCTAATTATTCCTTCTCAAAGCGCTGTTGTTGTAGCTACAAGAAGCACTATTATAGTTAGGTAAAAAGCTTGTAAGTACTAAGGCTGTAAATAATTCCTTAAGCAATCCTTTTCCTCTGCCTTTATTTTCTCCTACAGATCTGGTATTATAAATGCAAGTAAAACATGGAGGGTTACATCAATCTTCTAATTGATTTGTAAGATTTTAATAGTATATTGCTCATTAAAAAGAGCTGAATAGCCTTATACCATGCTTAGAGATTTATGAATAAAATAAAAGATCTATACAATGATAATAATTACTGAATGCCCTGTGATACAAAGATTTTGTGCCTGGAGAAATGGTTCATCATTTGAGTTTTGACACTGATTTGCTGGATTTTTTTTTAGGCCTGTAATTTTAAAAGTCTGGTTCCTCATGTAAAAATAAGGGAAATATTTATATTACATTGGCACCAAAATCATTATTGGTGCCCAGTGATACGGCACACTACCCAGATGTATGAGAAGTCAGCCTAAAATTGGTCTACGAGTTTTTCATTCAGACGCAGAGCTGGAACTACACCGCACGTGAAAAGGCTGATAATCAGGTTTTGTGAATTCCTGGGCTTTGACTGGAAGCAAAGATAGGATGTGGGAAGGAGCCAGCATAAAGGAAGGATGAAAAATAACGTACAGCAAAAGTGAATTAACGGCTGTGAAGCACAGGCGGTTTCAGAGCTGCAGAGCGGTGACCGTCGGTAGGGATGTGACCTCTGCCTCTGCTGTCCTGCGCTCCCCTACCGCTGTCGCTACCCTGGATCCTGCCACATTTGGAAATAATGGACGAGAGGGGGAAGGACTGAGAGGTTTTGGCCATCTGGTGGAAACACACTGAAGAGCAAGGTTTAAGAGGAGAAAAATGTTTTCTTACCAGGTATTTTCTTTCCCCTGGGGGTTTGTTGCCGCTCCTGCTGTGGGGTTGCTGTCTCCGTGGAGATAAGAGGCTGAATCCAGTCACCCCAGAGCTCCTGCCTTCATCCGGGCTGGGTGGCACGGGGCCAGCCCCACGAGAGCGGCTGAAAGAGCTGGGAGCGTTTCATAGCAAACAAATTCTGCCGACGCTCT